AACTTATGTCATCCCAATTATATTATTCCACAGCCATTGGATTTGTTACTTAACAGAGGAAAAAAAGCAAGAAAAAAAAAGCTGTTGAAAGCTCAGAACACACTGAAATTGTGCTTAAGTCAGTTTCAGGAAAGGAACGAAGTTTCACTAAAAATATACTCCAGACTGCCACTAACATATCCCTACACTGCTCCTTTTGGGCAACTTTTATTACAAATTAATAGCGAGGATGTTGTATACAAATACTTGGGTTTATTATTTAGTTCTGTCTTCTAATCTCTGTCTCAAAAAGAGACAATTATGGAATTGTCATTAAAAGCTTAAAAAAAGCTTTAAAAAAAACCCCAACCCAAAGACTATTTCTTCTAAATACAGAATATGAATGTTTACTGCTTCCTTATTAGATCTGTCATGTAAATAAAAAGGCCCAACCACGATTCCCACTGACAAAGGTATGATATCCTGGTGCAGGACTTCACCTATTCACACGGGTCTCTCACTGCCTGCTAACACTTAACTGCAGCTGAAGAAGCTGTTATGGTCAGACAAGCTTCAGCTGAAGCTCAAACAGATGAGAAGGCTGCTTCCAGAAACCAAAGCTATAGATTTCAATTGAGACCCAGCTGTTCCATCTCACTTCCATAACTTTTTCATCTGTCCAGGGATAAATAAAGGGTGAGCTTTACATGGTCTAATTAAGGTTGGTTTACATGGTCTAATTCTCTTTCAGATACCTGCAACCTGAAATTGTTTGAAACCTGTAAATCTCCTGTTGAGAACACTGGCAAACACTAAAAAGAAAACAGCCACAAACAGGCAGTGGAAAGATTCAGCCTTGCTCATCTCACTCCGACAAACCACCACAGGACCATCATGGGTTACAGACACGGATCCCAAACTGAATTTTCACAGTGCAGGTGTACTGCCACAGGCCTGGCATCCTGTTCTTGCTGGGGAGTGAGGAGGGGAGATAAAAAGCAGGGATCTTTCCCACTCTCCCAGGAATGCACTGCATGAATGAAGTTAAGATTAAGGTATGCTTTCACTGCTGAGCAAAGAACAGCCTGTTCCTATTTCTTTCACTGAAGCTTTAGCTTGAATTTAACCCTTGTAGAGACACCAGAAACTCCTAATCTAAACTGTGGAAATGCATAAAATGGATGGTATTTTTTAGAAGGACTGAAAATCACATTTGACAAAAATGAATCATTCACATAAAGAAAAAATATTTCAGCTAACAAAACGATCCTTTTAAGGATCATACTCTGGAACAATACTGGCTTGTCCTTCGGAATGTAAAGCTAAGAGCAATAACAAGGATTTGCATCTAACATACTAAGGAAGCATAAAGAAGTGTATTCTCCATGCTCACACCTGTAACTAAATGAAGACACTTCCCCTTGGTCTCACTCTGCAGACACCTCAGTGAGTTCCAGAATGAGACCTGTCACCAGCAGAGCTGGTACTTCAAAAATGAGATTCTGTAGGGCATACAGTAATGCTTTGGAATGTTCAGTCCTTGTGCCTTCCTGTCAAATAATGCCATTTAGGATTTATAGGTATTAGAAGACATAAAAGTCTGAATATGGCCTATTTAGAAGTATTCCTACCAGTACAAAATGTGCACTTGAGCCCAGTCCATCAGTAGATCTTTCAAACTTCAGCAAGAAACACCTAATGAAAATATGCTATCTAATAGAGGAATTCAAGTTGCCCATTAGCTAAGAGATTTTGTTCTACATGCAAAAACCTTGCTCCTCATAATACTAACCCACTGGCAAATGTTTAATGTACTCCAGAGGCAAGACAGCAATATAACTCAAAGCCAGCAGTTCAAATATCTGGAAGGCTTAACTATAACACAACATACAGCAAAGATAAACAACATTCAAACTACCAATTTTGCTACTGTGCTACTTTACAAAGAGCATCCATCAGCTGTTGCACCTTCCCTTTTCTGCTTGTTTGGTTTTGAGAATTTGCAAAATACAACTACCCTTGCAAGAAAAAAATTACTTCGGACACAGAACGAAGCAGAAATCTCATTTAGTTTAAGGCTAGCTTTACTGGTTTATAATCCGCCCATTTCTAGCTCTGATGCCTGTCTTTTTCCACAGCAGAATAGTAATTACCTCATGTTCAAAAGTGTATTAAAACACAAAGCCAAAAACTGGAGCGTTCCAGTCACTTGGTTCTCTTGCTTTGCAAATATATGATTATTAACTCTTATAAAAATAAAGTAAGAGAGATGATATCTTTCTGGCATAAGTCAACTGCTACAAAATCTGGGCTGGTGATGAAATATACCATCTGCCTGTTCTTTGGTATGCTGGCCTGTGCCTTCCTGTGGTAAGTTTGCCAAAGCAGAGCCCTCATTTGACCTACCATGCCACTCAGCATCCTGCAGGATACAGTTCTGCACTGAACAGAAAGGATAACTTTGATGAAAGTTGTAGATCTGCTTTACTTAACATTCTTCTGCACTTACCAATTTGAGCAAACTTTATTACCACTCAAGTTAAAACCACCACATGACCAAGAAGTTTCCTGGGTGAAATTATCAGAGGAACAAATGATTTTGTTATGGATGTATAATCACAACTAACATTAACATCCATTAAGGGACAAACACTCCATTAAAGAACTCTAGTGCTGTTTTCAGTACTGGCATTCCCATTTCTTCTTCCACTAAGGAACATGTTTTTCCAACTTGTGCAACAAGCCACAGACGCCAAACCCGTAAGCCATAGCATATTATCTCCTGTACTGCAGAAAACGATTGTGCCAACTGGCACCTCCAGTATGGAGTTCAGGGAGCACAATAAAAAAGAGCAGACAATAATTTGATTGTACCACCACCAAAATTAATTGCAAGTCACTGTCTGTCTGCAGATAAAGAAACGCTAGTCCACCACCTGCAAGACTGGAGCTGGCAGTTTCCAAAGATATGGAAAATATGACTGGGAAGGTGAAGACTGTTTGCTGGCTATTTGATTTTACAAAATTTCTCCAAAATGCTTTTAAACTGGATTTTATTAACATGTTTGGTAGACTAGTTACTACCTAGAAAATTAGCACTAGATCATAGAATCATAGAATAGTTAGGGTTGGAAAGGACCTTAAGATCATCTAGTTCCAACCTCCCTGCCATATATTCCAGGCATTACATGAACAATTAAAATCTCATTAGAAGTATGTTAAATATCCTCCTACACGAAGTACAAAATCATCAAAACCTAAGATTTCCCTCAATAAAAGAGGCTGCAATGAATCCTTACAGAAAACACTGAGAAAGTACACAGTTCCCTATGGCAGTTAATTACAGTTCTCCCATTAAGTGCAGGTTTGTTTTAAAAATATAGACCTCATTACGGTTCCCTGTGCTAGTGCAGAGTGATTTACTCTGCTGCTGTTACCGCCTGGCCTGCTCCTGAGCCCTCACAAACCAGCAGAGCCCCACAACATCTGCTGGGTACAGTTTCCAGCCCCACGTTCCCCTACCTCACTTGCAAGTCCTCCAGTTCTGGTAGGCACAGTTCCCCCATTCCTGCTTAAGCATAATTCAGAGCCACAAATCCTTATTTTATAGTCAACTCACTGAGAAATAGGCAGCTGAGATTAATACTTCACAGGTAATGGAATTATGCAATGAGGTGGCTACCAAGGACTTCAGTTGATCCCTCATCTCATGATCCCTGACCCAGTTCATCAGTCATATATAAATCTTGCAGCAGATGCAAAGATACCTGTGAGAGAGCTGTGGCTGCTTGTTCTTTAATACATGGCAGCAGCAGCAGATCATCACCACCAAAAGAGACTAGCAATACGTACAACCAAGTATTTTTTTCTTTGCTTCCCCTCTCAAGGGGTCACTTGCAGGTACTACAAAATAAAAGGCACTTGTGAGTGTTCTTCCAGCAAACACCTTCCCAAAGCAATGCCTCCCTTTACAAGAATGGCTCTGTGATTACCTTCTCCAGTGAAGCACTCTACCTCTGACGCCAATGTAATCAAAGCCTTACCAATGCTACTGTTAAAGCTCCTTTAAAATCCACACATTTTAAGAGAATTTCAAATGTTACTCTATCATTAATCAGGAATTTTAGGAGCTGTCACAACATATTGACCACATATGTATGCAACAGATAACAAATTGTGTCATACTCTAAAAAGCAGACTACAAGAATTAAACACAGTAAGGTTCACATCACGCTGCTAAGATCAACTACCAAAGTGGATGTGATATTCAGAGATCTCAGATCAAACCAGTGTCAGCTGCAAGGGTAAACTGTACTGCTTTTGCACACTCTACCAGTCTTTGTTCCTGTTTCTTTGTATAACTACACAACCTTTCAGTTGATATCACACTACACTATTCCAAATTTCACTATAACTGCACACCTTTATCACCCACACAGACCCCTGTATTTCCTCTCCATCTTCATGTATTTCATTTGGTTACTTCAGGAATCCTTGGATGGTTTCTTAGCATTTCTTTGTACAAAACCTTGCACAGCTAGACCCAAAATTTAAATATTACCACTATACAGTACAAATAAGATGTTAAGATTTTAAAAACAAGAAGGTGCTCTTCTCTCTTCAAAAAGTAAATCAAAACAGATGCTGCAATTCCAGCATGTTCAATTTGACGTAGATGTGAGTGACAACAATGCAACTTTTAATACAGTAAGATCAGATTCGCTTATTCTTCCACAAATATCAGTTCCCTCATTATTATTTTTTAAACATATATTCATATTAAAATATACTTCAGAACAATGATTTTCAACTGGTCAGCTGACCCAGATTTTCAACTTAGAGCACCCAGGTATTCAGGGATCCAAAAATACTGACTAAACTGTGATGATTCTCTGAAGGTTCTCCACGAACCTGACTCTTCAGAGGCATTTGCTTTCCCTGCAGAAATGTGTAGTATTCCACAGACTGGAAACTACTACCTAAGTCAGTCACTAGGACTTTACCACTCATATTCTACTTACTCATCAGAGGAAGCTGAACGTGTCTCAAATCCTTCCAAATCTCTCAAAATGTCTGAACTGGAGCTTAAAGGGAAAATAAAACAGATGTAAATTATTTCAGTCACAGAGGCTACTTAAGTCAGGGTGTTATCAAATTCAGCTATCACTACTGCACCAACACTGGAAGAATCTGTGTGTGTAGATACATGCAGACATGCACACACACACGTATGTAAACTACAGGTATGAGTTTAGCAATGTCGGTCAGACCCCTTCTCAAAGTTTCAAAGAAACCAATTCCACAGATGATTTCAGCCTGCAATTTAAATAAGAATTTTTATCAAATTTCAATAAAATCTGAATTAAGTGAACATAATTCTTAGGTCAAATGTTGATAAATAACTTTTATTGCATGTTCAGGTTCCATGACATAAACTATTGCAAAGCTCTTAAGTATATGCCAAATTGCAGGGTTGCAGAAATCAGCTGGGAAAATGGTGTTTTCTGGAAGCTATCCTTCAAAAAGATGTCTGTCAGCTCAATCTGTACCTCATTACAGAAATTACATCACAAAGCATGTTACACAAACAGTTGAGAGAGATTCTACTGTAAACCATGGGACAAGCAGTTAGATACCAGTTCTCTTGGATTGACTTTAAAAGGTTTTAAAAGCAAATGAATGCTCTGTTGTTAGAAGACAGCAGACATAAATTGTAAAAATACATTCCCCAAGTCATAACTTTATACACAGATTACATGTTTGTTCTAAACACATATTAAGGAAAACAGACCAAAAATACCCAGCATGGCAAAGTGGAATCTTCATAATATGGATGATTGCTGAGGTTTATAAATGGCATTTCTGCCAAAAAAAAAAAGTTTTAACAAACAACATGTCTCATACCAGAGAGACTGTCTTTGTGTAGAAGACCCATGCAGTGGTTTAGTGGGCACTTCTCAAAGGTGGAGTCACATTTTCAGTCCCTGGTAGAACGGAAGGTGGAAGCATCTCACTGCCCACTTTGGCCCCAGCACCCCTCAAAGGGTGGGCACTATGGTCTGCTGCCCTCTTGTACCATTTCAGTATTGTCTTTGCTTTGCACTGTCCCTGTTGGAGTTACAAATCAAAAAGCAATAACCGTTTTGTGCACCACTTCCATTCCCCAGGTGCAGGACAGCAGTCCAACACTGGCTCTCTACCTGGTTCACAGATTGAGAACAGGAGTTCACCAAAACACTGATTATTCATAACACATTGCATCATTAGAGAGAAGATAATAATTCCAATAGGAGAAGGAATTTAAACCCCAAGGATGCTGTCAGGCAGCTGACAATGTTCAGGGTGCATTAAGAATGGTTTGCGTGCACCCTGATCGTTCATGGAGAGCCCTCTGGGTATAAGAGCTCTTGCAGGCAGTCAGCTTGGCTGCTCCCACTCAGCCAGTTTGTCGCTGTCACCCTGGGCTCTCACAATCACAGACACGGTTGGTGGCTCCCAGTTCCCCACCCTGCTGGTCAGCACATCCTGCTGCCTGTCCATCCCTCTGAAGAGGGATTCATCAGATGTGACTGTGGTGATAATTATAGAACCACCAACAGATTACATTAGAAAAACCTTTCAACACATGCATATTTAGTCATAAAAATAAAAAGGCAAAAGATACCAAAAATATACATAAAGAACTGGTGCCATATGGTGAAAATTATTTTGAACAAGACGGAATTAGAAGTTTCATGTACAATTTTAGAAAATCCGATCATTTCCTGCAAATTTTAATGAGTGGCTGCATAAATCTACCAAATTACAAGCATTACCCAACAGAGCAGTTTTAAGATGGAAACAAAGTCACCTGAAATTAAAAGCAATGCCTGCACTTATAGGGGAAAAATGTTTCCTCCTGCACCAATTACAAATACTACTGCTCCCAACAACCAGCAGAGCAGCAGGCACTGCCCAGAGCCCAGCCCAACACATGAGTGCCCGCACAGAGGCAAAGAAGCCCTGGGATGCAGTCAAGGGGAAGGAAGAGGATCACTGTATCTTCCTCAAAGTATTGGTTCAGTATGGCTACAACCTGGTAATACAGTTGACTGCTAACCTGTTTTGTTCTCTCTAAAGTCCATCAAAACCTCATTTTGGATACACAAACTGGATGCCAAGGAATGAGTTATTATATTTCTGAATCCTATTCCGATGTTCCAGTCACATTTAAAAAAAAAAAAAGGAGGGGGACAACACAAGGGCCTATGTGCATGCTTTCAGTCCCCTAAAATAGAAAAAGAACAGGTCTGATGCCCGAACATGATGTACTTGCTTGTGTTATTATCATTTATTACCAACTGCGTTTGTCACAAGCAAAACAATAGAAGTGAAAAAACCTGGCTAACGCTCAGAACAATAATGCAAGTTCATAATTCACAAGTGTAATTCACAGTCTATGCCTACCAAATCATTTTAAAACAGAGCACAAAATGTCCTGGAGTGAGTTACCACCTTGGCCTATACGTGTAGACGTGAATGGGCTATCGACTCATGAGTGATCAGTCCCCCAGCAAACCAAATTAACTCCTGCGCTGTAATTGCCTTGACAGATGGAGGATGTATGAACGTAACTGTGCAAAACCAAGCTGCGGGGTTATGAACTTTCCAGCTGTAGCTTGAAAGCCCTTTGTTTTGGAATTTCTTCAAATAATCCATTGTTTCAAGCCAACCACTCTACGAAATAGTTTTCTGCATCTAGTCTCTCTAAATCAACTTCTTTTACAAAGACTGAGCAATTGTCTGATTTTGAGTTGAAGTGATTATATACCTGTCTTCCACATGCAGTGGAAACAAACTGTTTGCAAATTAAAAACCAACCAACCAACCAAACCTCCTTAAATATGCCAGACAGTTAAACAATTAAAAAAATCATTTTCAACTAAGCAAAAGGATTTTTGACCACCAACTGAATTCATACCTTAAAAGAAAACTCCTAAGCTCTTCTTATCATTGAATGAGTAGCCCTTAAACTGAAGAAAATTAATTAAATAAAGAAGGAACAGCTACTTCATTACAGGTGTTATTTCTATACATTTTAGCCTTCGGGGACCAAAGAGATCACAGAATTTAGAATAGTTTCATTCATTTTTTCAGTATTTTCTGCCCATTCAACATCCCATAGATATCTACCTATACTGAGGCCAGACAAAACAAAACACATCCTCAGACTTTATTCAGCCTCCAAATCAGAAGCAATTTCCCACAAGAGATTTTCTGTTCTGTTCTTTACTAAAGGTCATTGTTCTATCCTAAGATTTTACTTATCAGTTCCAGATGAGTACATTTTTATAGCAAAACCATTAAAGTTCTGAAACTTAACTGCTCAGGATGCAAAAGGCTGACAGAGCAGGTGACAGGGTGTGAAGAGATTTCTTTTCCTGGACTTGTTCCTGTCTCCATGTTGAGAGTGCAGTAACCTCCAGTGACTTGGGCAGCTCCCCAACTCTGCCTCACTTTTCTGCAGAGTTAGTTTCTTCTGAGCACTTATAGGCAACCAAGAGTAAACTATTCCTTTCCTGACCATCATTTGGACTGGACTTCCAATCCCAACCCTTTCTTTTTATTAAGATAAAGAGACCACCTTAAAATAGAGAGAAAAAGGCTGACGTAAGTGTGAATAACATGTCTTGTTCTAAAAATGAAAGGAGCAAACGTCTCTTTGAATTTGTTTATTTTAAAGGCAGATTAAGTTCCTTCTTGGCTTCACGGTGACCAGACAGGGTCCTTTAATCAGCCCATGCTGCTGGGCATTATGTACTGAGCTCTGGCACGTGCATTGTGCATTTTCTTTTTCCTCAGTGCTGACATCAGAAATGAATTACAGTCTGTCTCATTTTATCAATGTCATTTGAAGGTGAATGCCCAGCCACAAGGAGTGAGGGAAAATGGTTTTCTCCACCTTGCAACCCTGCTTCCCCTTTGACCTGCCTGTGATGAACAGTATGAGCTTGTTGCTGGAGTGGCTGTAAGTCCTGTCTAACATCCAAGATTTAACTGTTTACTACAAAGGCTTCCCTGGCTTCCCACTACCTCCTCTTCAAAGCATGCGTCCCCGGTACCACTGAGCTTCATCCTCCTCTCTTTGGAGGACAGCAGATTTGCCAGGCTTGGACCTTCTCAACAACCCCCCATGGCTCTCATCTACACTAAACATTACAAAAGCTCCTCTGTTTTTCTTGACTCTAGGCATTCCTGGCTTCCAGTGGCCTCCTCTGCAGCTCGACAGTGTGCCCTTGAGGCTCTGCTTTTAGAAAAGAAAAACATCTGCTAGATCCATTTTAACTGCTTTCATTCGCATTATGGCAAGTGATGTCCAGACCCCATGCCTCTAGACTAGGGACTAATGCCTGTCTGAGTACATGCCACAATATAATCTTTTCCCCATATACATCTGAGGTCATCAGCTGTTGCTGTTTGAAATGACTTCTCCAGGACACTATTTACCATGTCTCACAGTTCCTGGCCATTTGATACAGCGCACATTTTTTGGAAGAAAGGTATGAATCAACAACACAACAGATAAGTATCATCATCTTTCCAGAATGAACCCATATTTGAGGTCAAAAATCAAAGATAAAACACACTTATCTAACGTCAGAATATACATAATCTCTGAGCCAAAGTAGTTTAAGATTTATTAAGTCAAAAATGTACTGAAAAAGGCAGTTATTCCCCTGATCAACACACTTTCATATACTTCGCTCATTTGACAGTGATGGCCAGCCTAGGGATCAGCACACTTTCTTTAAATTCTGACTGCCAGGGAAGAGCTTGCACAGCTTTCCACCGTTCCTTCCTGTCAATGGACAAACTGATGTCTACCAAGAGGTTTTCAGAGGATTGCTGCTACCCGGTGAACTGCAAACTAACTGAAGCACAGCTTCCTATTTCTACCTCTGCTTCTGCTCATGAGCTAAACCCCAGACTCTGCAAAGCACATAAATCCAAGAATAAGTGACTAGCTAGATCCAGATCTTAGATTGTGATCAATAGCTCCGAACTTAATGCCAAGAAGCCCCATTTACTGCAAACGAGGCCCCTT